GTGATAATGCAAGTCTCTGAAAGCCATCTTGCCCACAAGTCAATCCATTCAGAAACAAGAATGCGGGAAGGCATCACAGTCTACATGTGGGGACAGAGTGTAGGACCGAGCCACATGTAGCGCCTCAACAGAGTCGGGGACTTGGTTGCTGTCCTCTTGGATCTTGCTAGCTTGGAATGGAGGGAGAACGTGGATGAAGGGCTAAAGTGTGCCGCGGTCGACAAGAGGAAGATTTATAGTTTTCAGCTTATTAAATCCAAAACGTAGAGTACAAATGCGCGTCCAGGTTGCCCCACAACAACAGTTACTTCAAACGTGGGAGTTTTTTTCTCAAAGGGACTTCTATCGGCGACAAGAGCAATGGAACAGCTCACGATTGGTGTTGTGGTTGGAAGCAGGGAAAGCCACCATGATCCCAAGATAACACTGACCACAGAGAGAAAGAGAAAGAAGAAAGAGTGCTCGAAGATAAGAAATAATAACTGAAAGAAGAAATCGAAAAGAAGGACGAGAGAAAAATGAGCCTAATGGCCGCCGAAGACTGGGAAGCCACCTGCCTCATCTTTGACGATGATAACCGACGCACCACCACCATGCTGGACAACCAAGGAGGGCTACTCCGAGGATCGATTGACTTGACGTTCAAGTTATCGGACACTGTATTTTGTCGGCGTGTGGCTCCTTATGACCACATGAAACCTCGGTTCAAGTTTTGGACGGTACTCCAGGAGTCTTCTTGGGATGAAAAGAAGGAAGGCGATGAGAATGAAGCCAAGCTGGTCTTTCGCGTAGTCTTTTGGTGCAAACCAGGCGATCCTGCTGAAGAAGAAGAGGATGAGTTGTACAGCCGTGTGGATATATCGCTGTTGTCCGAGTACCCACATTCCTTTCCTGCCCAGTCCAAGACCCTGTGGCTGGATTGGATGAAGAAGACAGCCTTCCAGGTTATCCAAGATGAAAACCTTTCCTATTCCGTCTGTGTCTTTGTGGAAAACCGTGCACTGGACTATTTCACAAAACTATACGAGTTTGATGACGGAGCGACCAGCCAAAGCTTGATCTGTTTTGATGATGTCGGCCCGGCTTTTTACGATGTTCCGACCCTCATGACAGCCTCCAGCGTCAAACGATTGCTACCTTTACAACGACAATACACTAATGGAAGTACGGTTACTTGGCATGATACCTCCAAACTATCCCCTAAAGAAAAAGCCATGGTTGTCCCCCTTTTGCTGAGATGGAAGGAATGGTTGCCAATCCAGTGCCCCATTTGTTTTGATGTCGTCTCGCCCAAGGATGCCTCCATTTGTCCTTGTGATCATGGCTTTTGTACAGACTGCTTGAGAACCTACCTGCGCATCAAAGCCGAGGATCTCAATTCGGAAAACTCCAACAATCCCTTTGTTTGTCCGCTCAACACGTGCCGCAAAGGCATGAAGATTGTGGGGTTTGTCAAAAAGTTCTTGTCGCGCGATTTGATGGACGACGTGCGAGCGTGGTACAAGGATATCAAAACGCCGCCCTGCTATTCGCTTCCGGGCTGTCTCAAAAAGGATTGTCGGGGCGCCGTGTTGAGAAAAGAAGCTGTAGATATGTTTATGATTTCTTGTGAAGTTTGTAGTGGGCGCTGGTGCGAATTGTGTCTGCAACGAGCACCTTTGGGCAAGCAGCACGAGGACACACCCAACTGCAAACTCGAAGTGTGTCAACAATTCTGCGAACGGTACCTGGCTGCCAGCGACAAAGCCAAGGCATCTTGCGAAGCTAGGTTCCCGTGGATCAAACTGTACGCCAACTCCAGGGTTCACGATCAAACCATTGCGATCTGGATCAAGGAAAATGGACAAATCTGTCCCGGTTGCAAAACAGGTATCGAACGAACGGAAGGTTGTTTCCACATTGCTTGTGGTTGTGGAACCCACTTTTGCTATGAATGCGGGTAAGCTCATCATGCCAAGCTCATCATGCCATGTACCTGTTTCGTCATCGTGTCCTTGCTTCGTCATCATGCCGCCGCTCACTCACTTTGTTCGTTTGCTGGTGCAAATTATTTCAGAGACGAACTGTTCCCGCCGTACTACGGAACCCACCACTGTTGGGAAGATCGGGCACGGCAATTCGCGGCTGGATTCGAATGACATGAAGCAAATGCTTTGGTTATGCGGAATCATTTGTTTGTCGTTGGGGTCACGTGCCAAAGCTTGGCTCCTTGGTTGGATTGTTCAAAATTTGCTACATTGGCGACGCCAGGACAACTGAGTTGAGTCCAGCAAACGACAGCGTCGGGCTCCGGCACAACGACTCCAGTCGACGGCAGGCAGTGGAGTCTGGGTTGATGGCTTCGGTATCGAGCGATAGCGTTCAGCGGCGGCTGGCCCACCACAAGCACACCGACAAGACTTCGGCTAGACACAATCTAATAATACTACCAATTTACAACTGCAGCAAAGCAACGAAAGATGCGACCTTCCGCGGCGTCCTGGTAAGCACCCCATGTCACCTCCTTTTGCCCACGAATTCCCCGCGGACTGCGTTGGTGGGTGAATTTGGTTGCAGCTGGCTCGTTTTGTTGGTTTTTGTGGGGCTCGAGAGTTTTTTTTTACGTCGAGTTTTTTACTTCGAAGTGTTCTGTGCCTCCGAGTGGTTTGCTGATTGGTTGGCGCCATTTTCTGCCGGAATTGAAAGGCACCGGTCCTCCACTGCTGGATTCGGTTCGCTTCAGTCTGACTATTGGCCCAGTTCGGGGTGCAACAAGGCCATGGCTACCGTTGCCGACCACTGCACTTCGAGGAATTCTCCCGCCGTAGCCGCTCTGCGAAGTTCCCGCAGACCGATTGTTTTGAGTTTTTGCTTTTCCGTGTCCGCCACACCCACCTCTTCTTCCTTTTCAGTTTTGTCGTTGCCAGCCTTCTTTGCTTCCTTGCATTGCATGGCTAGAAAGGAATTGACCCATCCCATCCCACGGTTGACATCGGTACGAAACCGTCCCAAAAAATGCAATTTCTGGCAGGTCATTCCCATTTCTTCTTTTACTTCTCGGGCGGCGGCTGTTTCGGGTTCCTCTCCCGGTTCAATGATTCCTCCAATAATGGCTTTGGACATGCGTCCTTCCAACGCGTATTTGGATTGTTCAAAGATGAGAAACTGAGGTTCTCGATCGGTAACTTTGCGAGGTGCTTCTACCAAGACATTGATGCGATCATGGTAGTCAATCCAGAGCCAATCGTCAATCAGCTTGTCCGTGCCCGGCAATCGAACCGTGTGCTGTTGTACCTTCATCCATTTCGACTCGATGAGACACCTGGCCGGTCCTGCCGTGCCGCTGGCCGTGTTGGAGTAGACGTGACCATGGTACGCTCCATACGAACGGAGACATTCATGGCTGCCGCTGCTGCCACTTTGACGGGTCTCAAAAATGTAGAGACACAATCCCAGAATCACGGATAGTAAAAAGACATTGAGATTCCTAGTACTAGACGTCGTCCATGGCTTTTCGCCCAGATCTCCTCCCATGGTTACAGATAGATAAAGCGGTGGCTTTGGTAGGATGGCTTCCTTTAAGAATTCTTCATTCAACCGAAAGTTGGAGAGGAGAAGGGCAGGATGAAGAGCACGACCCCAACATCCAAGTCCGCTAACAACTAACTTCGAATGAGAAATGAGTCTTCGCGATCTCGCGATCTTTGCTCTTCTAAAAAAGCCGGCCAATTTGTGTGGGACGGAGGCCCTGATCTGAAGGAAATTTAAACCAAGATGGCCTAAATGCTGCTGTACAGCTACCGGCACCGGTACCGGTATCAGATATCGTTCCACCACATCAGCTAACGACAAGAGAGGATTGGTAGTACCAGTATTACTAGAGGCATATGCTTGGTTTATACACTTCGCACCTCAGAGGAATGCCTGAATCAATCGGAAATGTACAGGTTGACAAATGAAGAATCGAAGAAAGATTTTCCCACAGCTACTGGTAGTGAAGGTCCAATACCTACTCTCTCTCAAAGATAAACACATTGCACAAACGCCCTGGGGACCTACCTGAGTGCTGGGCTTTGGGAGATTTCAGGCGTGTTGGTGTAGTTTACGGTACGTACATGTACCATACCTTTTGTGGTCGCTCCAAAATGGATCCACGATTGGCTCCTTTACATGTACCGGAAGATCTGATTCAACCGCTGAAATCCTTTTTTTTGGATCTTTGGATAGAAGTCCTCCCATTTGGAGGACATCGGACTGGCATCGCTCTTCATACCCCCAACGTCGACCATGAAGATACTCTTGGTTCTTCCCTCTCTTGTCGCTCTCTTGACGGCTGTACCGTCGCTGGCTTCTCAGGCGCAAGCGGCGACGGATGTCTCCTCCGTCAGCTCGACAAGTCAAAGTCTCGACGATACCGCCCAAGCCGAGCTCGTCGCTATGAAGGAAGTCATGTATGTGAACATTGTAGACCCAAAGGCAGATGAGGTCCCTTTCAATGACAGAGCACCAGAGATTCTACCAAAAAGATCTGATCTTTACATCACCTTCAGGCACCGTGGGAAGGACTGGGGCCAAACTATCCCATTTGGGGTTGGCGAGGATGCTTGGGTCAATATCCCCCTTTTGGCCAATGCAACAGGCTTGCAGGAGCCTGTTATTTGCAAGGTCAAACAACCAAGGAAACTAATGTGGGACAAGACACTCTACACTGCCAAACTCTTTCTTGGAGAGGATGTCGGTGAAGGAGACGAAACCATCCTTCACCGCCTAGGAGAGATCAACGCGATCCTCAGGAATGGGAAGGGAGATGACAGTGGGCTTTGTCTCAAGCTCAGTACATATTCAACAGAATGGGACTCCATCTACATTGGCAGACAGTACAAACCAAAAAAATTGGATGCCTACTTCACCCTCTTTCTCAAGTTCCTGAAGGTCCAAGTCAAGGCATTAAATCTTGGCGGCGCTGGCATTTTGACCAAGCCAAGCCAACCAGCCAACACGGACTTGCCTACTATCTCCATGCTTAATGGCCGCATTGAATTCCCCAAACAGGATGAGTTCATTCCACTTGACTGGAAGGCAAAGGTAGATCTACCACGTGTGCATGCAGAATTGTTATCTGAAACCAACTTCCATTATGTCTCAACCCAAACATCCTCACATGCGTAATGATTCCAGTATGTCCCACCCCTCCTCAACATGCTCCCTGTTACAAAGACAAACAATCCTATCTATAATCGTCCAAGATCAATGAATCGAGTCCGCCTTGCCTTGGGTTCCGGAGTGACAAGTCCATACGAGGGAAAATGGGACAGAGACTTGAGTGATGCCAGCATGCATCGTGTCTACTTTTGTAGCATGGGAATGTTCTATCTTAAGAAGGACAACTCCACCAATGGATATGTTGCTGATATGGAATACTTCAACAAACTCAAGTACAAGAAAGGGTATGACAGCATTGCTCACAGGACATTCTTTGATGCCAATGGGATTATCACCAAGATTGAGGATTCCGATGGGACAATGTACCACCCAGGAGACGAGAATTGGGAATGGGCCAAGCTCAAATCTCGAGCCGCTGCCTTCACCTATGCTTCCTTGGAGCATGTTACTTCCTACCACTACACTTGGGCATGCACCCCTGCTTTGGGTCTTCGAATGTTTCTGCCACCAGCTCATCCTATCCGGATGGCATTTTCAGCCCACATGTTCCGAACACATTACACCTGTGCCAAGGCCAAGGATTCTCTGTTGTCAGAGGTAGGTGTTTTAGGGCGAATCCTACCATTCACCTACAAGGATGGCCTAGAGAAGGCCTACATTGATCTCCTTGACAACTATACATTCGTGCCTTACCCTGAAGAGCTGAAGAACAAAGGTCTGGCCAATTGTCCATTCCACGTTGGAGCATCTGATGGAGTTGCACTCCACAAAGTCATGATGGACTATGCAGCCAATCTTTTTGATGAGGTTTATGGAACTGAGGCAAATCTTCAAGCAGATGGGGGCATGCGAGACCTTCATGATTGGATGAGACGTAAAATGAGAGATCTTCCCAAAGACTACACTATGGCCCACATGAAAAAGATTTGGGGTGAAATCCTCTTCCGAGTGACTGGGGCACACACGTCAATTGGCAATGCTGTTCCATATGCTATCGACCCTCTTGTGGTGAACTTTCGCTTGCAAAAAGAGGACAAGGGTAAGGCTTATGGAAGTGAAGAATGCAATGCTGGAGTTGCAGGTATCACTGGTTTGACCATTCCAAGTGAGTATCCAACATTGTCTCAGGACTGGTCTCAGGTACTAAAGAATCCCAAGAGCAAGGCATATGCCCAACTTCATGTGGACTTGAAAGCTCTCGGTAAGAAGATTGATGCAGAGAATGACAAGGTTAACAGCCAGAGCACCAAGAGGCGATTTGTGAACAGGGATTTCCATCCCGAGCATGCAGCGCTTTCTACTTTTGCGTAATGAGTTGACTACATGTAGGAGTTTGGCCTCCGATATCGGCGCATCGGAAGAGATTGCAGCCAGTGCCAGACAGAGACAGAAGGACCAGGTCAAATCACAAACGTACAACTGCGATAATGGTGTCCTCCCGTTTCTGAAGAACCTAAGAAATATTCAAAATGCCAAGAGTACACGAGTAATACAGAATGCGTTGGGTCAAATCCTGATCAGCTTCTAACTCAAACTGTACTACCGAATAATCAGTTACTCTAGTCTAGCTACGCGCCTTGATAGTATCCCTCCCTGGCCAGCCAGGATTGGATGTATGATAACCCACTCATTCGAACTGAGGCTTTGTCGTTGGCATGATAACATTTGCTCCGGCAGCCATCAAGAGCATGCCACCCCTCATTGCCAACGCTTGTGCTGGCATCTGGCTAGGATTGCTCATTAAATTTTCAGTAAAGAAGTAGACTAGCTCGATGGAACATGCCGACAACTTTGGCTACTCCATCCAAAAAGAAGCAGGCTACCATATTTTTTAGGCACCTGGTGAGAGAACACGATTGCCCTGAACTTGGTACTGTAGCTAAGCTAGGTCCAGCTGGAGCAGCTAGCTTATGTTCGGTGTGGCGATATCTAATTCCTGTCAATGACATGCACGAGAGCGTGGTTTTTTCGTTTCTTTGCCTTCTTAGTGGAGGCCATCCCGCCCAACGGATTGGTGATCCTCAACCGTGAGCGGCTGGCTCGATTTCGGATTTCGGAAACCGAGAGTTGCCTTCTAGCTTGAGTTCCAAAGAACACGTGTACGATACGCACTGTAATACTCAGTAAAAACACCTGTAAAAACTAAAAAATGCATTCACGGTTGCTAAACATGCATCAATTAAGAAGTTGTTACCCTGGGCTTAGACACTGCAGTTGCCAATGTGCTCGATTTTAAAATAGCACTCGAGGAGATAAATAACGATTTTTCCAGAGGGTTACGCCTCTATTTCCTCATCTGCCACCCTGAGAAACAACGAAGCTGTACCGACACTACCGGTATGCATAGAAGGACTTACGAGCGGGATTTGAACCTTGCGTGATGCGTGAAGGATGAAGGTTCCAGCATTGGTGGTACTAGTACCGTACATGTATCTACGTATCGCTCTTCTGGAGCTCACTTGTATCATTGGGGCGTGCTCATGAAGGGTTTACGGCTGTACTCTCGATTATCGCACTGCGGTACCTACATGTACGTACCGGTAGTGCGCGGGTGGGTGGGCATATGGGCCTTTCATCTGCCGAAACTTTGCATCAACGTTTCTCATGAGTGCAAGCACTGTACATACGATACGATACTAGCTCCGGGCTCTGATGGGTGATGATCAGTTCAAACTTCCATTTTCCCATAGTTTAGCAATCGAACACAATTTTGCTCCTCGCGTTCCACTCATTCAACCTTATGCAAACCATGACAATGAAAACTGTTGCTCTTTTCGCACTTTTGACGGCTTTGCCTTCCCTTGCCTACAAGGAAGGCAGGGTAACACCATCACGATTTAACTCGAGTCAACTCAGCGCAGTTGATAATGCTGTTAAGAGAATCGTCTCAGTGAATACCGGTACGTTGGGCCCGAATACTGAGGCGGCATCTTTCGACGCCTCGGTATCGGCGTCATTGCCATCGCTTCGGTTTCAACAGAATACGACGATGTCATCGGGAATCACAGTGAGCCAATTCACCTTTACCCGCAATGACGACTCCAACCTTGTCCCGATGAAAGAGATAGTGTGTGTTAATATCTTTGATCCAATGAGCAAATACCCTCCTTTCGAGGACAGGCTACCAGATCTTCTTCCACAGAGATCCAATCTGTATGTCACTTTCAAGCATGGTGGAAAGTACTGGGGCAAGAGTATCCCATTTGCTGGTGGTGATGATGCCTGGGTGAACATACCCTTACTAGCCAATGCCACCGGGTTGCAGGAGCCTGTCCTATGTGAAGTCAAGCTGCCAATGGTGTTTTCTCAGGACAGAACTCTATTCACAGCCAAGTTCCTTCTTGGTGAAGGCAACGACAACGATAGCTTTCCTGACCTGTTTGGTGAAATTAAGACTGTTCTAAGAGATCCACATGGCAACGACAGTGGACTTCGTCTCAACATAAGAACTTTCTCCTCTGACTGGGACCCTATCCACCTAGGCACAAAGCATGTACCCCCACAAATGGATTCCTACTTCACCACCTTCCTCATGTTCCTCAATGCTCAAGTTAAAGCCCTGAATCTTGGTGGTGCAAACATCTTGACCAAGCCTCGTGAACCAGCAGACAAGAACTTGCCTACTGTATCACTGCTTGGTGGACGAGTCGAGATACCGAAGGAGGATGAGTTCATCCCATTGTCCTGGAAGGCAAAGTATGTTGTACCTATCCTCAACAGGCTTCCTGCCACAACGAGAAACAATCCTATCTATAATCGCCCAAGGTCCATGAATAGACTTCGCCTTTTGCTGGGTGATGGAGTGACGACGCCATACGAGGGAAAGTGGAACAGGGGTATGAGTGATGCCAGCATGCATCGTGTACACTTCAGCAGCATGGGAATGTTCTACATACAGAAAGACCCTTCCACAAATGGATATGTTTCTGATTTGAGCTACTTCAACAAACTCAAGTACAAGGACTCCTATGACAGCATTGGTTGCAAGACCTTCTTTGATGCCAATGGGAGCATCACTATGATTGAAGACTCTGATGGGACAATGTATCATCCAGGACACCAGTATTGGGAGTGGGCCAAGCTCAAGTCACGGTCTGCAGTTTTTACACTTGCATCACTCGAACATGTCACATCCTATCATTACACCTGGTCAGCAACACCAGGCTTGGCCCTTAGAATGTTTCTGCCACCATCACATCCCATTCGAATGGCATTTTCTGCTCATATGTTCCGAACGCACTACACCAGTATCAAGGCTGTGCACTCCCTTCTGTCTGAAGTTGGTATTCTTGGACGAATCCTACCATTCACCTATGAGGATGGCCTAGAGAAGGCCTACATGGATCTCCTTGACAACTATACATTCGTGTCTTACCCTGAAGAGCTGGAGAAACAAGGTGTGGCTGACTGTCCATTCCATGTTGGGGCAACCGATGGGATTGCATTGTATAGAGTCATGGCGGACTATGTCTCCAATCTCTTTGATGAAGTCTATGGAACAGAGGAGAGACTTCAGGCTGATTTAGCCATGAAGGAGCTCTATAGCTTCTTGAAACAGAAGATGCCAAACCTACCCAGTGACTTCACCATGACAAACTTGAAGTTGGTGTGGGGTGAAGTACTTTTCCGAGTGACAGGTGCACACACATCCATTGGAAATTCTGTTGCATATGCAGTGGATCCAATGATGTTAAACTTCCGCCTAAAGAAGGATGAGAAGGGAGAAGTTGTTGGAAGCGATGAATGTATTGCTGGTGTTGCTGGCATTACTGCCATAACCATTCCCAACGAGTATCCCAAATTGTCTCAGGACTGGTCTCAGGTACTGAAGGATCCTAAGAGCAAAGCATATGCACAGCTTCGTGCTGACTTGGATGATCTTGGTGACCTGATTGACTCTAGGAACAAGATGGCGGAGGAGGGTGGTTCTGAAGGGCGGAGATTTGTGAACAGGGACTTCCACCCCAAGCATACTGCTCTGTCTTCTTTTTCTTAATCTTTCCATTCTGTCTTGCAAGGACAACTCCAGCACATTTTTCCCATTCAATTCTTCACACTTCACATGCAGCTTCAGAAGACAGCCTCGATGTCTCACACTCAGATACTTTGTTTTTAAAACTAGAACTTTCTTACTTCCATTTAGCCAGATGAAGAAGATCATCAGCAAAGAAACCTTTTCACTACGCTAAAAGCTAGTGTAAAGATCTTTCGAGTGTTTTGAGTTTGAGAGAATGAAAGCTATGAGAGAGATTAGAAAGCTATGAAAACTAATCAACGAGAGAGATCATCATCAAGGGATCGTAGATCTGGCCTCCCGCGGGAGACTATAAAGTGTGATAGAGTAGGTTGCGGTAGTAATCCTACGTCTCTCCACGATCCTAAAACGGAACGCGTGGAAGGTTTGTCTAGCCTGGATCTAGTAGCGTAGAAGTACTCCACGCTGGCTAAATATCTGGAGCGATGTTTCATCATCAACCTAGTATGACCAGAGCGGTCATTGAGAACCCTGTCTCAAATGACTATTCACGAGAGACTCAGTCATGAGTCAAACTCAAACCCTATCTAGGATCGAGTCGCGAATAAGGCTAAGAGCCGTGTATTGCATTCGCCCCCTGACAAGGGTCACAGAAGGCTCGACAGCAGTCGGACAAGGAGAACATATGATTTAAAGTGCGGGGCACTCTCATGAGATTGGATGTAGACATGTGCGTCGCACGATGGCAATCCTACAAGGGGATCAGGCCTTGTATGGGTGTATATACCTTATGTTCCAAGTCTGGTAGACTGTGCCGCCATTGGCGGTAGCATGTCGGAGCCGTACAGTGCCATTGTCATTGACTCAGTCTATAGTGTAAGGACCTTTGTACTTTGGCTGACCGTACTTGCGGTGCTGATACTGTTGAATCATCATGGTATCGTTGACATTGTATTGATGAGGGACACGCGTCGCGTTTTCCCTATCGTTGTTCTGTTGGATTAGTCGTTGGCGACGTTCCTTGATGTACTTCCAGTTGGCTTCGAAACGGACGTTGTGAATCGCATCACGATTGAACACGAGCTGCGCAGGCGTTGCACGCAAGGTGGTATGAATCGTGGCTGGCATTCATTGCAAAGCGAATCGCCGTGAGGACTCCATCCCAGGATCCATTCACGAGGTCGTCTTGGCACTTGATGTTTTGAACAGCGATCAAGTTGCGTATGGTCTGATGAGCACGCTCGACCATAGAGTTGGCTTGAGGGTTATGCGTAGTGATGAACTTGCGACGAAGTCCATGTTCATCCCGGAAGTCTTTTGCCTCGCGCGGAACTCCGTCCTCTATCATGATAACCTCAGCAGGCCATGATACCGAGTAAGCCACGTTTGTTCTAGGACGATAGCTACTTGTTTGCTGCCTGGAGCAGATCTCTGCAACTCGAACCATCCGGTTACGATCAATCATTGTCAGCAATAAGTGTGCAGGAATTCTTTTTCTTAGGATCCCCGACGTTGTAGACCTATCAGGTCAATACATAGTCTTTCCCAAGGGATCTCCTCGCAAGTCTTTGGAGGCATCAATCCCAGCTTACGCGTCTTGGGTTTGTTCATCTGGCAGCTCTGGCAACGCTGACATACGGCTTGCACAGTCTTGCGCAGTCCTTTCCAGGTGTAGTGTTGGCTGATGGTCAGTTCTGTGCGAGTCTCGCCAGGATGCATCAGTACACCATGGTACCATTCGACTAGCTTCTTCTGCATAGTCTTAGGTACAACGATCTTGTTGTCCTTGACTACTAAGTCGTAAGACTTATCCCCTCTGGGGAAAGATTGCTTCTTATAGTCGTTTGGCTTGTCCCTGAGGAGTTTCTTGATATCGTTGTCGTCCTTCTGACGATGTTCGATCTCGGGGAACGAGAGAGGGAACTCGACTTTTTCAAGCGGGAGCCAACTCACAGGACTCCCGCCACTGATTCTGTCAACCAAGATGATAATAAAGATAAACAACAACAACAAAGACACTATAAGCAACATCATCATTATAAAGCTATCTATTACACTATTACAAGCAAGTTTCCCCTTGGAAGCACTCAAATCGGAGCTCTGGATCGATAGATATCGAACGGAACGTCCTCAGCCACCCATCCCAGCACGTGATTGCGGCCCCGGAAGATCCAGTCATTCCACGTATACCCTGGTACTGTTTCTACAGAGGAGTCATTATCCAAAACGCCAATCACCCAACAACCAAATCACAAACAACAACAGGAAAATTCGAAGATATCGAGTTGTCTTGTTTCGCCCATCGAGACGCTGTTTGCCACTCCAAGAAATAGTCCCCGATCTAACTCCTGTCCATAGGAATAGAATAGGAACTGCATCTGTCAGTCGCAACGAGCATCCTAGCAGGTATTCCAAGACAAACGACCGAATCGGAAGACAAGGAACTCATTCTGTTTGCTCAGAAGAAATCGAGCTGATAATCCTTTGCTCAGCCATTGCAAATTACTTTCTGCTCAGTCCATTCTCGACAACAAGAACAACGTCCTAGTCCACTCCCACGCGAAGCCAGCCAACCGTCCGAGTCGTGGGGAGGCGGGAATTAGTTCGGGTGTTCGGGAGGTGCGGCCGCGGCTAGAATTGACCACAAGATGAAATGGCGGGTGGTGAGTAGTGTAGATACTGAGTTCTTGCTTGGCAATCGGGAAATCGAAAGGTGCTTCTATCGGAATCAGTCAGCAGTTCGATCGATCGGCCGATAGAGGTAGGTGTA